GGGGTGGAATGCTCTCCCGGAGGGCGGGGCCTGCCGGAGTGGGGCGGGACCTAAGCCTCCCCGACGATCCCATTTCAGACTCGGGCCGTGGCCCTGGGTGTTTGGGTATCTGTGACAAGGGTGCAAAGCCACGTGCCTCGCGGACGGTGGTGCCAGAGGACCCACCCCCACGCGGAGTGCGGCGTCCTCAGGTCCCAGGCAGCCCCCCAGACCCTGGTGCCCCAGCGAAGCCAGTGCTCTTCACCACGCCCACGGCGTCCACTCCTTGAGTTGGCCCGGGGCGGGCTGAGACCCCAGCCTGCCTCTCACACCCCGCCGAGGAAAAGGGCTGGAGGTGACCCCTCCAGGGCGAGAGCCCAGGAGGGAAGGGAGCCGTGGCGCAGGCTGGTTGTAGACGGATTGGAAATCCATCTCCCTCCCTGGCGCCAGCACCCCCAGGCTGGGCAGTGTGGGGACCACGACGAGCTGGTGAGAAGAACTGTCACGTCTCCAGAAAGAGTCCTTCCCTTATCTGAATTTTATTCCATACAAGTTATTTTGATACTGATAACAAAATAATTCTTGTGCACACACAAGCGAATGAATTCATTCACTTGTTCAGTTGGGGTGGGGTCTATATGAGTCTGCTCAGGCTGCCATAAAGAAAGATGCAGGCTGGGCGGTTTCAATGACATTCTCAGTCCTGGAGGCCGGAAGTCTGACATGGGTGTGGGCAGGTCTGGCTCCCGCTGAGGCCCCTCGCCTTGGTGTGCAGGCGGCAGTCCTTGTGCACATGACCTCTGGAGTCTGTGTCCAAATCTCCTTAGGACAGCGGCCAGGCTGGGTCAGGACCCACTCTAATGGCTTCATGTTAACCTAACCACCTCTTTGAAGGCCCCATCTCCAAATACAGTCACATTCTCAGGTGCTGGGGTCAGGGCTTCACCGTGTGACTATGTGGGGGACACAGTTCAGCCCCTCCCTCGGGGAACCCAGCTGCCTTGTCCGCTCGCTGGTGTCACTATTCCCCCTCTACATGTGTCTTCCCTTGGGTTTCTCCACGAGCTCCTAATCCTGCCTGGGTCCCTGGCTGTGGGGTAGGTGAGCGTGGCCCCTCTCTGTGTATGAGCCAGGGGAAGCCACCCTTTAACAAGCCACTGGTCTCTGTCAGTCCCAGAAAACTGAGTCTGGGGCCCAGGCAGGCCTCTGTGGCGCAATCCTCACAGTGGCTTCTCTTCCAGGGGTGTGCGAGCCACACCAGGTTTCTGCAGGAACCAGGGTTGGCAGCATCTCTGCAGATGCCAGCCGGTCTGTGGGCAGCCTTTTCCTGCTCTGCTGACTGTAGTTTTGCTGACTGCTACCTATGGCCACAGATTTCTCTGAACCATTTTGTGATGTGTGTGTTAGCACCTACTGTGTGCCAGGTGCTTCTCTGGGCCCTGGGGCACTCTACCCCGTCCTCTTGCAGCTTATCTTCTGGGGGGCAGGGGGCAGCAATAGACACTCACCCCACCCCCCAGTGTCTGGTGGTGACAAGCACTGTGAGGAACAACAGGGAACAAAGTGATGGGTCGGGAGGAATGGTCTCTCTGAAGGCCTGGTGTTTGAGTACAGGCTAAACAGAAAGAAGAGGGTGGGAAGAGCTTCCTTCCAGAGGCAGAGGCAGAGGGAGGCAGGCGCCAAGGTTCCAGGCAGGACTGAACTTGATGAGTCTGCATGAGGCCCAGGAGTTCAGTGGGGTGTGAGCCCTGGGAGGGAGAGGATGATGGCTAAGGGGCTGTGGGGCCAGGTAAGGACTTTGGATTTAACCCTAAATGTGACTGTCAGCCCCCAGAGGGCTGGCCTGGTTTGTCTTAAACTCTGCCGCTGGAGGGAAGCAGACAGGAGAGGGTCAGGAGGGCAGTTGGGAGGCCGTGCTGTTTGGGTCCAGCAGAGAGCTGGCAGCAGCTAGGTAGGGAGGGAGAGCCGATTATGCTGGGAACACACTCTGAAGCTTGGGGTGTGAGGCAAAGTCAAGGATAACTCAAGTTTTGGCCAGAGCAGCACTCTCGATGGGGGTTTTCTTTACTGAGTCAGGAAAACCTGGGGCAGGAATTGGGTTTGAGACCAGATGGGATGGAAGCCGGGTGTATTGGATGCATTTGAAATGTCACCTGGGAGGAAACAGTTCATCGACACGGTTAAAAAATGAATAGTCCATATAGAAACATTAACTCTAAATGGATTAAAGACCTAAATATTGGGTCTTCAGAAAAGTCATGACGTATTTTGTCTATGTTTTTCAAAGGTCATTTATTTATAAAAAGAACAAAGATCAATCAATGATATATTTATTGCCTGTTTTGTTTGATAACCTTTTGCCATCTTTCAGTAAGCTTCACAATTCCTTGTTTATAGAAGGACCTGTCTTTGAGAAAAACTGAACAAGATGCTGATTTACAGCCTCATCTGAATTGAACGTTATACCACGCAAGGAGTTTTTAAGAGAGTGAAACAAATGGAAGTCTGATGGCGCAAGGTCAGGCGAGCATGGTGGGTGTGGCTACACATCCCCTCCAAAGCTCCAATAATTTTTTTTAAGACTTTATTGGGGAATTGGGGAAGGGGAACAGCATTGGGGAATTGGGGAAGGGGAACAGGCTAGTTGCTGTCCTTTTGTTCTTTAGTCTAGTTGTGGAGGACGTTGCTTCACTGGCCCATGTTGGTATCATTGCGCTCTTCCCAGGTAAGGCAGTTGCCCACCGGCCATTGGATGGCTGCTCACAGTGGCTCACGGCAGCTGCCGGCCAGCCCCACTGCAGCCTACGCCATTGCTGGCAATTCACAGCAGCCCAGCTCCAGGTCGAGCTGTTGTTCACTATCTTAGCTGTAGAGGGCACAGCGTCACTGGTCCTAATGTGGGATCCGAACCAGGGCCCTGCTGCTCAGAGCTGGTGTCCCAAGCCAACTCTTAACTAGTGCGTCACTCGGCCGGCCCTCCAATAAGTTTTGACAGGTGATCAAACTTGTGTGTGGTCTCACGTTGTTGCAATGGAACACAACTCCTTTACAATTAACAAGCTCTGGACATTTCTGGATGATGGATTCGTTCAAACTGTCCAATTGCTGACAGTACACATTCTAATTTATTGTTTGGTTCCTTAGTAGGACCTCGAAAAACACAACACCTTTAAAATCCCAGCACACTGAGAGCATAACCTTCCTCTGATGAATGTCTGCTTTGGATGTCGTTTGAGGAGAATCATCACATCAGGACAAAGGCCGTTTAGACACCACATTGTTGTAAACAATCCACTTCTCATCACCAGTTATCAATCACTTCAAAAAAAGATTGTTTTCCTCACATTTAATGAGCTTATTGCAGATGTTTATACGTGCTGTCAAATGAACTTCTTTGAGTTCATGCAGAACCCAAATATTGAGCTTGCTTACGTATCCCAGCTTCTTCAGGTGGTCATGAATGCTTGAATGATGGATGTTCAATGTTTCTGCAATCTCTTGTGTCGTGTAATGTGGGTTCGACTAGATCAATGCCCTTATGTTGTCGTCATCAACCTCGGTGGGCCTCCCTGACTGAGGAGCGTGGTTGAATTCAAAATCACCAGCATGGAATTTCGTGAATCATCATTTGCACTGACGTTCTTATAGAGCATTGTCACATAAACATTATGTAACTTTTCACAAGATTGACGCGCATTCTTCCCTTTATGGAAGTAAAACAATAAAATGTGGCAAAAATGCACAGTTTGGTCTTCCATCTTCAACATGTAAAAATCTCCAAAACTCAACCAAATTGCTCAATATTTTTTTAGAATGAAGGTAGAACTGTCAGCTGTCAAATGACATAGCAATAATATAGACGCGAATGACTAGTACTTCCAAAAATGAATTAGTGCCATCTGTTGCAAACATGCGTCATGACTTTTCCGAAGACCCAATAGAAGACCTAAAACTATAAAACTCCTAGAAGAAAACACAGGGGGCAAGCTTCATGACATTGGACTTGGCAGATTTCCTGGATGTGACACCAAAAGCACAGGCAACAGAAGCAACAAGAGCAAGTGGGACACATCAAACTTAAAAACTTTTGTGGGGGTTGGCTGAGTGGCTCAGTTGGTTAACAGCCTGCCCAAGAGTGCGAGCTCTGAGCAACAGGGTCACCAGTTCAATTCCCACATGGGCCAGTGACCTGAGCCCAAGCTGAGCTGCCACTGAGCTGCCAACATGTGGCTGGATGGTTCAGCTGGTGAGATCACATGCTAACAAGACTGCCTTTTTGATGGTGGGTTATGCCCACCTGCAACTAAAGTCTGAACTCAGTATCTTGAGCTGAGCTGCCAGCTGGGTGGCTCAAGGGATAGAGCGCATGCTTCTTAACAGCAAGGCTGCCGGTTTGACTCCCGCATGGGATGGTAGCTATGCCTACCTGCAACTAATTGAACTCAGCACCTTGAGCTGAGTGGTGCGGCTGGACGTGGAGCTGAGCTTGCTGCGCCCTCCACAACTAAGATTGAAGGACAACAACTTGGATGTTCCCCTTCCCCAATTCCCCAACACTGTTCCCCTCCCCCAATTCCTCAATAAAATCTTTCAAAAAAATAACAACAAACTTGTGCATCGAAGGACACAGCCAATGGGGTGAAAAAGCAACCTACGAAATCAGAGGAAATGTCTGTAAATTGCATGTATGATAAAA